AAAAAAAAGGACGAAATTCAGACATTTTAAATAAATATACACATTTGAAAGTGGCAAGATGAGAGAACATTTATAAAAGAGTATAATTAAAATCACATTTGAGGTGGAATTAAGAATTTGATCTTGCATTAAAACACTGATTATCACCATCAAAAGAGCCAGGACATTTTAAATAAACAATTTTAGGGTTGAAATAGTCTTACTTTAAATAGATGCTATTAGTCTAAGACTAATTTTCTGAATAATTTATATTCTACAAGCTTCTTTCCTGATGTTTGTGCTTGTTCAAGTTTTGCCAGAACTCTTTAGGCCAGACCCAAGGATTTTAAACTTATGTTTAAAAGGCATCACTACACATATGTAATAACATCAGTGCATAAAAATGAAGAAAGACAAGGTTAAACTTCACCCCTAAAATTCAACAGGGAGATTTCCCCGTAAGTCCAAGTGTTTCACAGTGCAGAGAAAATTCAGTTCTGTCAGAGGCAGCTCGAGATTTTTAACAGCAAACTTAAAGGCACTGAGATGAACACATAAATGCGTGGAATCGTGTGGTACTTTGAGTTTTTCAATCACATCTGTATCACCGCAGATGTAAATCAGAGCATAAACAGATGTACATTAAAGCAATGCAGGATCCTCCAACAAATGTAAAGCAGAATAAACTAATTAAAGGATAAAGCATTTAGAGTTTGAAACATTAAAGGCTGCCCATATCAGTGCTAACAAATTAAGACATTCTCCCTCAGCACTTAGCGCTTCAAGTTAAATCAATTTAAATGCAGGACATTTCCCTTCTGAATAGTAACTTAGTGAGAATGCACAGTAGCCTTCAATTATGCTGAGTTTTAGCCTCAAAATCTAGCTATTCAGCCCTAAGCCACATTACAATTGAAGTAAATATGATAATATTGCTCTGCCCACTATAAAAAAAAAATACTGGCTTATGTCTCTTTCCTCACCTCCGCATACACGCCACAACCCGGTGCCCGTTCACCTGCCTTTTTCCTGTTCTGTCCACGCATGGCAGAGCTGGCAATTAAAGGAGGTGCGTGGGGGAGTTAAAAAAAAAGAAAAGAGCAGTCTTCACAGGAACTAGGAAATTATAGTTGCCCAACAGGCTACAAAGTTGATGAACTTTCTGAAGAGAAAGTTGCCGTGCAGAGCTGGCTGCTCCTGGGCGACAGTCAAAATAAGGCAGCCTTCTGCACGACACACAGAGTCCAGATTCCGGGATCCTACCAAATACGCACGAAAGTGCCAGTGCCTGATTTATCGCCGGTGAAGCGGTTTCAAGTAGGTTTTCTAAGCCTGAAGTATTGCAAAGCTCATGATCTACACAGTCAATAGATTTCATACGTTGCTTTTTAAAAAACATTAGCATGAGCTATTAACCTTTAACCAAGAACTGTACCTGCTCAAACTGTACTTTATTCGAGCCTCTGCCATGGGATAACAGAATGTTAGCCATTACACCAAATCACTGACACAGCTGCTACCTAAACTAATTATTAAAAACTTCAAGGGCCATGCAGAGAAGATAAATTATATCTACTTGAATCGTTCTTATTGCCTAGATAGAAGATAAATATTACATCCTCATTGCACACCTGTGAAAAAGGACTGAAGAAATAATATTAATAGAAAAAAAAGTAATTGAAAGATCTTTTAATCTAGAAGATGCAATTACTTTGAGATCATAAAAGCTATTTAAAAAAAAATCTATGGGAACGGAACTCTTAGAGTGCTACACATAATGCAAAAACTGGTTAATTTTCTAATTCCTCATCTATGTTATTCTGATTTTCCTAAATCAAGTCAGTTCCCTCACGTATTTCAAAGTTGAGAACAATCCACACCAGCATCAGTTACAATTTAGGAAAAAAAGCAATAATTTTTCAAAGTATTTCCTAACAAACTAGCTACACTATAATTCTCTAGTTATATGAAGATCAAACATCTGCAGTGATGATAAATTTAATGAAATGTGTAAACTTAATTAAGTGTGAAAATAGAGATGTATATATACTAATAACATAGAAAACCACTAGGCAGCTAGTCAGCATATTTAGATTAAATATTTAATTCAAGTGTAACATGTTAATCCTGATATTAAACCAATATCAAAACAGACACACATACAGAACCAAACATGGTGCCTTATACTATAGCAGCAATAGGCTGAGTAACTTGGATTAATACCATCTTGAAGCTGAATGATACTATAAATTAGTAGGAAAATACTATGCAAATCTGGAGATTACTCAGCGTTGAGATTTTTCTACAAGAAAGTAAAACTTACCAGTTCTTTTACTCTGCTCTTCTCTAGGTTTAGATTTAACTGGTTATCTGCACGAACTTTGGTAATTGCATCCTAATTGGAAAAAAATGATAAAGCAGCACGCAAGATTATTCTATCTAATCATAAGCAGAAAAAATTCAGACAAATAAATTGCAACTTTACATATCTCAGGAATCAAGTTTCTCTCCAATTAGCGTACATAATATTCAAAAGTGTAAGTACTCCTTCCCCTGGAGAAATCCTCGTGTTCTATAGTATGAATTGTATCTTGGAATCAAAAGCTTAATTACTTTTAAAAGCAGAACACCGCAAACGCACTTAAATACAGAGCACATCCTTCTCTGAATGCTAGGAATGTTTCATATATCCTACAATCCTCACTTCCGGAAATCCTAACTACCCCCTGCAAGTTCCTCTGAGAAGCAAGTCTGACACTCAAAATCACTTGAAAAACACGTTCTAACCTTTCAATGTAAAAGAAACTGTTTCTAAAGACTACACTGAGGGATTTCAGAAAAAGCTACAGGTATTTTAGAAGTCAGGAAGTGTTTGGTTTTAAAAAATCTGAGACCTTTTCAAACTACTCCAAGTTGTCCACTTGCATTTTCCTTCATCAATAGCTGCGATTCCTGCTTTTGGTAGTGGCAGGGGGGGGTTGCACTGCTCCTCCCCCCAAGAATTCCGGCCAGCTGACAGTTGCTCATGCGGCAAAACCGCTGATCAGATGAGAGCGGGGGAGGAGCACAAGATCGTCAACCTTCTGGGAGATTCTACCAGTAAAACCACGCAAGCATCTCTCAAGCAGGCCAACGTTAACTAGTCAAGAGCTCATCGTGCTAGTATGAAAAATAATTACACTCCATTTCTATGTTTGAATGTGTGAGCTTTAATTGGCTTATAATTAGATGTCATTACAACATGGTGCAGTGCAGTTCAGTGAGTTAAAAATAAGTTTTTCTTATACTTCTACAACATTATGCCTTTTTGTATTTTACCAGAATAAGTGTGAAGAAGCACAAAACAAACTTACCCTTGTGAGACTTACATTTACAGTTACAATTAAAGTTTAAAGACTTCTAGCTTTTAAGAAAAACTCTCAGATTCTTGATGCTCTACCAGTTGATTACACTAACCCATTCATACGCAACTAAAACCATAAAATAAGTTACAACTCAAAAATTTGATGACGAATGTATTTTAAAATGGTATTCTGAAAACTCAGATACATTAAGTGCTTTATAACGCAGTATGAAACATGCGGGATTAGCCTGGAGAAATTGCCGTTCCCCTTGTAGAGATGAGAGTACAAAAAGAAATTGAAGAGAATAGGAAAGAAATGGCAAGGAGGCGCTAGGCTGAGTTTGTCCCCACTGGCAATCAGCTCAGCAAGTCCAACAGTGGGACAGTTCCATGGCCAAATCCTAGGGCAGGAGGGCTCCATCCTGCCAGCTACAAAGGACATCTCATCAGGAACCAGTAATTCTCAAGTCACACGTCCACACTCCCTAAAAACAGTTCACATTTCCCAGTTTTCAATTTTAATCTCTCTTGCAAGAAGCTCTGTTTCTGTGTAAAGGCTGCTTAGACACCATATCCGTTGAAATTCAAGATTTAAGACGATCTTAGTCTTGATGGTAGGAGGGTGTCCACAGTGCTAATCAAGACACGCAAAGAACGGAAACACAGCACTGATGCTTATATCTCCTAAGAATCTGTATGATAATTGAAACAGTAAGGGGGTTTGTGTGGGGTGTTGTTTTTTTTTTAACCGAGTCTGTTTTCTTGCAATTACTGTTTGGTTCCCGTGTGGTGGTGTTTTTTTTTAACCAAGTCTGTTTTCTTGCAATTACTGTTTGGTTCCAAACAAATAGGACCAGACATAACGGTCTCAAACTTAGCTTTTAAATGCCGTCTTCAGGCAGCTATTTTAAATTCTGGATGGTTAACAGGTAAGTCTTCAGAAAAAAACCCCAACAAATCAGCTGGTGAGTGCTGTCATTTTAAAAGTATGTTGTATCCTTCCATGTAACAGGCAGCCCTAAATGCAGAATTTCACTCAGCCTTAACCATGACAGGGCAGCCACCTTCTGAATCTGAATTAAGATTATATAAGTAAAGAAACCTTCAGTTAAATTTGTCTTCACCTCTTGTACCACTCACGGTTCTATGCCACCATAAATGAAATACGCATGAAATTGTCTTTGCTTTAGCCCACAGTATACCATCAACTGCAATTTCAGTATCCTATATATCACAACAATTAAGCACAGCTTTTAAAATAAAATCTTTAAAGCAACAATTTTATTTTTTCAAAGCAAACTAGACAAGTGTTAATTCTTAATTATTTTGGTATAGTACTTACCATGACTTGCTTCTTTATCTGCTGGAGTTCAAGTTTTATTTTCTGCAAGAGTAGGAAACAAAAATTATACACTTCATTGCTGTATATAAAACCACACCATCTAGAAATACTGCTGAATTTGCATGATCACTATGACTATAATCCACAATGTGAAAATGAAAGCAAACCCAGTGTGGTTTAACTCTACGTCCTTCAGTATGTCTACAGGTATTTTCTAATGTTGCGTGTCACACAATTCCATAAATCAGAGAAGTATCTGCACATATTAACCAGAATAAACTTGGCAGGCCAAGGGAAGTATTTCCCCACATTCAGCACTCGTGAGCCTGCTCTGGAAGTGCTGGGCCCAGCTTTGGGCTCCCTGGTGCAAGACAGGCCTGGACATACTGGAGCGAGCCCCGTGAAGATGATGCAGGGGGGCAGGAGCACACTACGTTGGATGTAGTGGGTGAGGAAGAGAGAAAGAAATGGGTTTATCCAGCTTGAAGAAAAGATGGCTAAGTGGCAATCAACACAGATTATTCTATTTAACTCTTTCAAAAAGACACCTACAACAGGTGTAGCTGTAGCCTTTTCTACTAACTGTCTGCAGAGACCATCCAGTTCAATCCCCTGCTCAAAGCAGGGCCACATCCAGTTGGGGTTTGACTCCATCACCTCTCTGGGTATCCTATTCCAGTGTTCTGCCACCCTTAGAGTAAAAAGGTGTTTCTCACGTTTAAACAGAATTTTCCACATTTTGATCTTTGTCAATTACCTGTTGTTCTGTCACTGGCCTGTCTCTGTCTTCTTTACATCCTCCCTTTAAATATTTGTATATATTGATGAGATCCCCACCAAGCCTACTCTTCTCCAGGCTAAACAGTCCCAGTTCTCACAATCTTCCCTCGTGTGAGATGCTCCAGTCCCTTACTGATCTTTCTGGCCATTTGTGGGACTCTCTCCAGCATGCCCACACCTCCCTTGCACTGGAGAGCCCAGAACTGGACCTAGCACTCCAGGTGTAGCCTCACCAGCATCAGGCAGAGTGGAAGGTGTAGCTTCACACAGCCCAGGAGGCTCTTGGCCTTTGTTCCCACACGGGCTCATCTCTGGCTCGTGGTCAACTTGGTGTCCACCAGGAGCCTCGGGGCCTCTTCCTTCCAGATGGTCACTCCCAGCCTGCCCTGGTGCCTGGGGTTATTCACTCCTCGAGGAAGGACACGGCATTCCCAGTTGGTTCAGCTTCGTGAGATTTTGGCCATCTCACCTTCTCAGCTCGTTGATGTCCCTCTGAAGGGCAGCACAACTGCTTGGTGCATCAGCCACTGTTCCCGGCTTCGTATCGCCTGCAGACTCGCTGAGGGCATGCTCTGCCCTGCCACCAAGGTGATTAATGAGGGTGTGAAACCATAGTGGCCACAGAGCCAGCCCCTTGGGTATAAGGCACTATTTTACATCAGTGGAAAAAATAAGCAAATGCTAGAATAGCACTTTCCAAGATAATGATTTTTACCTCATTTTCCGAACGAAGTGCTGAAAATTCACTTTTTTCCAAAATAATCATGTCCTTTTTCAGGTCACCAATGTGGGACATCACTTGCTGAAGCGCAATTTCCTTTAAAAGAGGCAAGAAAAATCTCAGAACGTATCAAAACCACAATGCTGTTTTTTTTTTTTCCCAATCTGTGCCTACAAATATGATACATTATTTTGCTACCCTGAAATTTTTAATTCAGCAATTTCAGATCGATTATCTGAGTTTCAGAAAGCAAGATAAATTAAGCAACAGTGACAGAATAAGCAAATTAGGCTCAAAGGTAACATCTGACAAAATTAGTGGTGCTTACATAGATCAGAATAATTCAATTAATAGCTTAGGAAATAGCTTATTCCAAGTCTTCAAATTCTTAAGCTGGCAAAGGCATTAAGGAGAGAAAATGTCTCTGAGCTCAATGAGGAAAGCTGGCTTTCAGACCAAAACTCCTCAGTGCAATTACCTCCTTTTTTACCTCCCCTTGCTCTGCTTCACTACTCAAAATCACACACTGTATTTACACTTTTAGTTGCTCAGTCTGTAATACCGAGATGACAGAAGATAAACAAGAATCCTCTGCAACTTTCAGCATTCAAAAGTCTGCAGATACCATGTTAGATCCTGTCCACACATGCAAACAGGGACTGTCTTCTCCTCTTTGAAGATCTGTGTCTGCTAAGTAGTCCCACCCTTTTGATTCTGGACCACGAACCCTACAAATCCAACAGAGCACTCCAACTTCACTCTTGTCAGGAACTGCTGCTCCACCTTGCAGCATTGTATTTGTAAGGGGCATCTGGAGATGCCTCACCAGGCTACCTCACCATAACACCAAAAAAACCCCAAACCAGACAACTGTACCAGATATGTTACAAAATGTCTACAGAGAGAATATTGCCATGGATGCCTCCTCTCTTGCTCCTCAATGTCTCCAGCTTACTTTTGTTCTCTTTCCTCCTCACTGAGATCAGTAAAACAGACAACAGACTCTTCCATATCCTTCATCTCTACACATACACACACGCATATATATTTTTTCCTCCCCAAGCCTTTATCTAACCAGTGTAATACTTCATCTGTTACATAGCCAGCTACATCCACAATCTTCCAAATCCTCTTCCAACTCATTGTTCTCTTTTTGCATAAGCTCTAACACATTCAAAGACTATAAGGAATTACAGTGCCTACCACATTGCCCAGAGTTCATGGCACAGACACCTCCCAAGCTGCTCCTATCTCAGCAACGCTGTACAAACCTGCACATTTTCATCTTAAGGACAGAAAGTCACCTAAGGGTGGAATCTACCAGTCAGTCTCAGAAAACATCTACCATCAGGAGCAACAAAGGGGTCCAGAAGGTAGGAAAAATGAAGTGAAGCCTCCCTAGATGGAAGGTGGTGCAAAATCCAGGTGATGAGACACACTACTGCCAAGACTATTAAACTGTGGAGACAGCAGCTGCTGTTCTCTCATGTTTTAAAACAGCAGCATTATTACTATGAAATAAATTAAAGCCTGCTTTCAGCAGGTGACCCGAGGCCATGAATCCCAGCCTCTCTGAGCAGCCCAAGAGGGTTCTTGTCAGCATTGTATATTTGACAAGCTTATGTGTACGAGGGAATTCCAGTATATCAGATTCTGTGAATCTCACTCAAAGATGCTTGTTAAGTTCCACGAGCAGTGCATCATGTCTTACCCTGAATTTCAGTTACATTTCTAGAGCCAGATGTCTAAGAGCTCAAAGTGCATTCTACACTGTCATGTCCAACTCCTTACGTGAATCTACCTTTGTATGACCTGACAAAGGGCTCCGAAAAAAGCACAGCCAGTATTAGAAGATGCCTTGCCTCCAGACACAATTATTCATTAAAGCAGTCAGAGCTAACAACTCAGTTCAGTGGTACAGAACTCCTCGGCTGTCAGGAAGGATCTCTGCAGATATTCAGCATTATCCATCTATTTCCAAGCAAATTTTATTCACTTCCTCCCACCAAGATGTATATGCTGGGTAGGTTTAGAGGATACCATGAGCAATGCATGCATCAGAGAAAAAGGAGACAGATTTCAATATCAGCATCCAAACTACGCATGTTTATGTATCCTGTAAGTATATACAACTGTACCAATCATGTCCTAAAAACATCATATATATATATATAAAAAAAATTCAGTTCAGTTATAATACAACAGAAATGTCATTGCAACACAGAGATATATAAAATGTACCGTGTAGCTGGGCAGTAAATAACTGAGACAATCTGTACTCCCTTGTTACAAGTCTACAAAAGAATGTACACAGAAGCTGTAACTATTCAAATCCGTGCACGGACTATCTCCTACGTCGGTCTACAAGCCATCTCTGTAATCCTATTTCATGCTACAATAAGGTCAGAACCAAAAATCTATCTGTAGTTCACATACCAGCTCACACTACCTCAATCTCAAGGTGCACCACAACACTTAGATATATGTTTGATAAACTCGAGACAAAATTCACGAGCCAACAGATACATAAGGATGTTTGTTCTTCAAACTTTTACAATATAGTGCCCACAAGTAATAAACAGAAACATGTATTTCATTAGCAGGCCTACTAGGTTTTGATTTACTTCAAGTCCATCGCTGCCTTTGAGCTAACCTGCTGTACTTTGGTGACCATGTCCTTGTAAATCATATCCAGGTTGGCATTCATAATTTTCACTAATGCAGATACAATGACCTCCGACTGCTGAGTGGTGAACCCTGGGCAAAACAAAAGGCAACAACGTTCAGAGAGACACCTCAATCTGCACAGCTTACAGAAATGCCACTCATAGCCCCAAGTTAAACCAAGTGAAAATTAAACACACTCCTCCAACATCAATAGAACACAACCAGTCAGTACGTTCAAGCTCCTCTACCCCAAAATTAGGTCTGTGACATAGCATGGCTGCTTCTATAGTACAGGGCTACTTCAGTATCAGCAGGATAAACATTGGAAGCTTTCCAGAAGTATTATGGAATGCCAGGTCCCACAAATGGTTACTTCTACAAGCAAGAACCTGTGACCCTGAAAAGCAGATACATCCTTTCAGTATACTACAAACCTTCAGTACCACTGAAGTCATGCAAAATTCAACAACTGAAATGAGAGCTAACTGCTCTAGTTTTAGACCTGCTGGCCTCCGAGCCCCTGACAGAAAACGTTTAAACTCACTATGCTGAGAAACCATTTTGTAATTTAGGCGCTAAAATACTCTAAATGTACTCTCAACTTTCCCACCTTCAAAAAGTAGGAGACAAAAAATGTCATGAACAAGATTTAATCACTCTAAGAAATACCAAAGCACAAGTGTTTCAAACCAACCAGCAGTTAAGCACCAGAAAACATGCACAGGGTCTGACAGCGAGTCCCTTTCAATAGCTGAGCTGGTGTAAGAGTTTGCTACCATCAAAGGGAAGAGATACCCTTCCTTTCTCTCTCTCCCTCTCCTTATCCCTCCTCCTGACACTTTCCAGGTGTGCTGGTGCTCATGCAACTGCTCTGCAAGCTCATTAGTGTCTTGGAATAACAATCCAACGAAAGAGCTGGAGGGTTTTCCAAAAATTAGGCTGGCATGTGAAAACAGCCATATTTTAGAGAGCATTCTACGCTCTATCCTAAAAGCTGCATTTTACATAGTAGTCCATATTAAACCTTGTTATAATAATTGTTGTATATTCAAGGCACTACATACTAAATATGCAGGAACCCAATTAACACATCTTAAAACAACTACCTTGAAAACTCTTGAGTTTTACTTTCAATTCTTAAAATTTTATTTCTCTTTAGCATTTTTAATTACCAGTAGGATAACAAATTGCTCCAATCAGTTACATAAGCTCACTGTTTCCTTTTGGAAGCAGAAGCAGCCTATACATTCTTATCCAGTATTTAAAATCCCACATCATAAAACTAAAGCTGTAACGTCATACATGTAACATCACACCACTCATGAAATGACATTAGAAATAGCTACCCAGTTCTAGCAAATTACCATTTTCTTCCAAGAGGCACACCAGCGCATGAGTGTCAAAAAAAAGCTGCCTATTTCCCGGTAAGGAAACGCTCCCTTTGCTTTGTGATGATGGTGTTGAGATGCTCATATCTGAAAAAAAAAAAATAATAAAAAAATCAACAAGTGCAAGTTATTTTTAAGAAAGAATATTTCACCACCGTATTTCTTTTCCAGGAGGTTTCCTTACCACCCCAAATATTTCTCATTTATGACAAAATCTTAGATGGTGGGTCAGGATTATTGCAGCTTGGCTTAAAATTGAAAAGCCACCTGCAAAGGCCTGAAAACAGAAAACAACGCTAGTGCTGCACTCCTGACCACCATAACACCCTAGAAACACCCCACCAAGCCTCGGGGCCTTAAAACTATTCCTTTGGCGTTATGGGAGGAGGCTGGGAGCTTTGAGGGCTCCACCCACAGGCTCTTGGCATCCTTTCGCCTTTGAGACGAGGCCATGGCGCACAATTTGCCCTTTGCTACTTTCACAGGAAACGCTTCCCAGGCCGGAGGCAAACCTGAGGCGCTCGGCGGCATAAAGGAGCTACCACGAAGCAGGCCGCGGCCGAACGTGAGGCAAACGGTGCTGAGCCAGCACTCGAGGGCCTGGTCTTTCCAAGCTGGGCCTG